ACGCCGAGGGAAGAAGACATCCTAGCAAACGTCGAGGACTCGCGTCTTACACAGCGACACATGTATTCCTGATCTAACGAACATGTTATGCACGTGTTACCATAGCAGTGAGTGTGTGAGTTTGATTTTACGCCGCCTTTAGCAATATTCCAGCAATATCAGGGCGGGGGACACCAGAAATGGGCTTCACGCATTGTACCCATGTCGGGATTCGAACCCGGGTCTTCGGCGTGACGAGCGAACGCTTTAACCACTAGGCTACCCAACCGCCCCTGTTACCATAGCAACACAGATAGCCAAATATTGATATGAAGTAATGGTCACCTTCTCATCCTCGAGATTCTTCACTTTGACCATGAGGTGGCTGATTGTGGTCTTCATCTCCTTGTACTCCGACATGCAGGAGATGCACACTGAAACAAGACATGGATATACAGTGAGTGTGAGTGAGCAATATTCTAGCAATATCACGGCGGGGGACACCAGAAATGGGCTTCACACATTGTACCCATGTCGGGAATCGAACCCGGGTCTTCGGCGTGACGAGCGAACGCTTAAACCACTAGGCTACCCAACCGCCCCCGTGGATATACAGAGTCAGGGTGACAGGAATATACAGAGTGCAACACTGACGCAGATATATAGTGTCACACTAACGCGGATATACACAGTGACAAGCTGTCACGGATATACACAGTGTCATGCTGACACAGATCTACTCACATTTACACGTCACTTTGTCCGGAAGCAGATCGAATCCATCATGACATGCGCACTCGTATCTTCCGGGTAGATTGTGACAGACCTGTTGACAGTTGTTGGGTCCTGCACATTCGTTGATATCTAGAGGCAACAGAGACAAACAGAATATTATACCATGATGGATAAACATACGTGTAAGCGTACTACTCCATGATGCATACACCTATATATCTAACCTTTGCTTGATGACGTAGGAGAAGGGGACTGTGCTGGCGGGGTTAATGTTAACAGTAAAAAACACAATGAGTTGCATTGTACATTGTACACAGACAATCTAACTGACATCTCTGATGAAGACTTGTTTAATATTTTACAGAACTCGACTGACTTTACAGTACGGACCTATCAAAGGCGTGTGACGCAGCAAGTCTAACTGCGATTTAACACGTTGTGATATGACTGTGATATAACACGTCGTGATATGACTGTGATATAACACGTCGTGATTTGAATGTGATATAACACGCCGTGATTTGACTGTGATGTAATATGCCATGATATGACCATGATATAACACACCGTGATCTGACTGTGATATAACACGCCGGGATTTGACTGTGATGTAATATGCCATGATATGACTATGATATAACACACCGTGATCTGACTGTGATATAACACGCCGTGATTTGACTGTGATGTAATATGCCATGATATGACTATGATATAACACACCGTGATCTGACTGTGATATAACACGCCGGGATTTGACTGTGATGTAATATGCCATGATATGACTATGATATAACGTACCGTGATCTGACTGTGATATAACACGCCGTGATTTGACTGTGATGTAATATGCCATGATATGACCATGATATAACACACCGTGATCTGACTGTGATATAACACGCCGTGATTTGACTGTGATGTAATATGCCATGATATGACTATGATATAACACACCGTGATCTGACTGTGATATAACACGCCGTGATTTGACTGTGATGTAATATGCCATGATATGACTGTGATATAACACACCGTGATCTGACTGTGATATAACACGCCGTGATTTGACTGTGATGTAATATGCCATGATATGACTGTGATATAACACGCCGTGATCTGACTGTGATATAACACGCCGTGATTTGACTGTGATGTAATATGCCATGATATGACTATGATATAACACACCGTGATCTGACTGTGATATAACACGCCGGGATTTGACTGTGATGTAATATGCCATGATATGACTATGATATAACACACCGTGATCTGACTGTGATATAACACGCCGTGATTTGACTGTGATGTAATATGCCATGATATGACTATGATATAACACACCGTGATCTGACTGTGATATAACACGCCGGGATTTGACTGTGATGTAATATGCCATGATATGACTATGATATAACGTACCGTGATCCGACTGTGATATAACACGCCGTGATTTGACTGTGATGTAATATGCCATGATATGACCATGATATAACACACCGTGATCTGACTGTGATATAACACGCCGTGATTTGACTGTGATGTAATATGCCATGATATGACTATGATATAACACACCGTGATCTGACTGTGATATAACACGCCGTGATTTGACTGTGATGTAATATGCCATGATATGACTGTGATATAACACACCGTGATCTGACTGTGATATAACACGCCGTGATTTGACTGTGATGTAATATGCCATGATATGACTGTGATATAACACGCCGTGATCTGACTGTGATATAACACGCCGTGATTTGACTGTGATGTAATATGCCATGATGTGACTATGATATAACGCACCGTGTTCTGACTGTGATATAACACACCGTGATTTGACTGTGATGTAATATGCCATGATATGACCATGATATAACACACCGTGATCTGACTGTGATATAACACGCCGTGATTTGACTGTGATGTAATATGCCATGTTATGACTGTGATATAACACACCGTGATCTGACTGTGATATAACACGCCGTAATTCGACTGTGATGTAATATGCCATCATATGACTGTGATATAACACGCCGTGATTTGACTGTGGTGTAATATTCCATGATATGACTATGATATAACACGCCGTGATTTGACTGTGATGTAATATGCCATGATATGAGTGTGATATAACAGACCGTGATCTGACTGTGATATAACACGCTGTGATCTAACTGTGACATGATACGCCGTGATATGGCTGTGATATAACACACCGTGATCTGACTGTGATATAACACGCTGTGATCTAACTGTGACATGATACGCCGTGATATGGCTATGATATAACACACCATGATACGACTGTGATATAACACACCGTAATCTGACTGTGACATAATACCCCATGATCCGACTTTGACATAACTCACCTCAACAAAAATACCAACAATTATTTGGCTAACACCATAATTAGATCCAAAAAGCCGCATCCGTGCGTGGTGTTACCCACCTTGGTCACAAGTCTTGCCCGTCCATCCCTCCAAGCACTCGCACGTGTGGGGGGCCGTGCACTGTCCGCCATTGAAGCACCCTCCCTTGCAGACCGCTGCAACAAACACACACACAGTGAGGAGATACATCGTCAAATACCAACTACCGTTACTTCACCCTCTCATATTGACGGCATTTTGCGTGGGTAACGAAATGCCAGACCGTTTTCCTTTGAACTATGGTGCATGTTATGGAGCTGTTTCCACAACTGAAATCAGACATGCAGCATTTGGATTGAGAACGTACATAAAGAAAACCGATACAGCTTCACTTGAGGAAATATTTTCACAACATCTCCGGCAAGTTGACGCTTGTCCCGCCCTGCAGCTGCAGCCATGATAACGCAGGTCACGTGACACCTGTTGCAGTTTACGCACAGATCACACTTTATTGTAACTGCACCTACTCTTGCTTGTAGACCAGTTTTAGTGCCACTTTGTCACAATGTTCAGTATTCACCAACTAGCTGCAGTTCTGTGCAGCATCGATCTGATATTACACAACGTCTGCCAACTTCCGGTTGGTTTGATGTACGTGATGACGTTTCATCGTCCGGTGGAGGAAGGTCGAAACGCTTCCCGTTTGGGCGTAATCGGGAGTTCTGACGCAAAATGGCGTCGGCAGACTGAATGTCGAACTAACTTGTCTGCAGTGATCGTTCGTGGTCCAGACTGCGGGCGGTGTAATGCGCCTTAGCGGAAAAAAACCTATATTACAGTATACATGTCGATGTAATTGATCATATACAGACGTGTAACCTCATGTTTTTTCAATACTTACGTTTCAAGCAGTCTTTGTCTCGCTTTGACTTCCGACCCCATCCGGGGCAGCAGTCGTGGACACTCTTCGTGCTGATGCGGACGTGGAAGATGGTACGGAACGCTACCCCGTAAGCTACACTGTAGCGGAAGATAACGCCATCAATATACACGACAGCAGTCAACTATTCACATTGATATTAAGGATTTGTCGTTTATGGAGTTATAAACATAAATTCCGGTGAGGACACCTTTCGTTAATCTGCTACGCTGCGCATAGTGTGCACATTGGTACTTGCGTTTACGCCTCCATAAACGCAAAACATATTGAAGTAATAACCGGCGTGCGCATTGTGTAGATCCGCGTAACTGATTTACGCAAAGTGTTCACACCGATTTTTATGTTCATAAAGTCCCAAAGAGCAAAAACATACAGAAGACAATTCTAATAAATACATCAACAACAATAACTTCATAGTCTGTTTATTTAATCAGTAACACACAAAACCATGCACAACAATACGAAATCAGTGACGTGGTTCAGCGCAATAATGTAAGACAAGCCCCGCCCATTATATTATAAGCCAATCAAGAAACAGTAGTCCGTTAGTGGGCGTAGAATATTTTTCGATTTACGAAAACGAAAAACCAAAAAGAAATCGTCAATCAAATGGCACATGATCACAGATCCCCATGGTCTGTGTGTGTGACCTACTTATAACGGGGACAGATCCTGTAGTTGTCACAGATCCCCATGGTCTGTGTGTGACCTACCTATAATGAGGACAGATCCTGTAGTTGTCACAGATCTACATGGTCTGTGTTTGATCTACTTACAACGGGGTCAGATCCTGTAGTTGTCACAGATCCCTATGGTCTGTGTGTGTGACTTACCTATAACGGGGACAGATCCTGTAATTGTCACACATTCCCATAGTCTGGCGGTACATGGGCCGGATGTAGCTCTGCCGCACGGGGATGGGTTGCGCCATCTGACGGTGATGAACACAGACGTGGCGCCTGTAAGTGGAGACAAGGAGACCTTATTATTCAGACAATTGACAATCGTTGATAGCATGTCAAGATAAATGCTAATAGGATATATGCAGCTTTAGAGTGAATTAATAGAGGACAGGTGTGTGGTAGGAGAGAGTTGGGTTTTTCGCAACATGCAGCAATATTCCAGCAATACCAGAAATGGGCTTCACACATTGTACCCACATGAAGGTAATCGAACCGGACCTTCAACGTGACGAGCGATCGCTTTAACCACCAGGCTACTCCACCGTTCCGGGCGGGTGTTGGTGCATTTCGGTCATCTGATGAAGTCAAATCCGAACACGACGTAGGGTGCAGGCATCACCACTTTCACTAAACTTTCACTCAAACCAGACGATATGACCACACACAGTACACGATGACGATATGACCACACACAGTACACGATGACGATATGACCACACACAGTACACGATGACGATATGACCACACACAGTACAAGATGACGATATGACCACACACAGTACACGATGACAATATGACCACACACAGTACACGATGACGATATGTCCACACACAGTACACGATGACGATATGACCACACACAGGACACGATGACGATATGACCACACACAGTACACGATGACGATATGTCCACACACAGGACACGATGACGATATGACCACACACAGTACACGATGACGATATGTCCACACACAGTACACGATGACGATATGTCCACACACAGTACACGATGACGATATGACCACACACAGGACACGATGACGATATGACCACACACAGTACAAGATGACGATATGTCCACACACAGGACACGATGACGATATGACCACACACAGTACAAGATGACGATATGTCCACACACAGTACACGATGACGATATGACCACACACAGTACACGATGACGATATGTCCACACACAGTACACGATGACGATGGTAATCACGATATGACCACACACAGTACACGATGACGATATGACCACACACAGTACACGATGACGATGGTAATCACGATATGACCACACACAGTACACGATGACGATATGTCCACACACAGTACACGATGACGATGGTAATCACGATATGACCACACACAGTACAAGATGACGATATGACCACACACAGTACACGATGACGATATGTCCACACACAGTACACGATGACGATATGTCCACACACAGTACACGATGACGATGGTAATCACGATATGACCACACACAGTACACGATGACGATGATGATCACGATATGACCACACACAGTACACGATGACGATATGACCACACACAGTACACGATGACGATATGTCCACACACAGTACACGATGACGATATGTCCACACACAGTACACGATGACGATATGTCCACACACAGTACACGATGACGATGGTAATCACGATATGACCACACACAGTACACGATGACGATATGACCACACACAGTACACGATGACGATGGTAATCACGATATGACCACACACAGTACAAGATGACGATATGTCCACACACAGTACACGATGACGATGGTAATCACGATATGACCACACACAGTACACGATGACGATATGTCCACACACAGTACACGATGACGATGGTAATCACGATATGACCACACACAGTACAAGATGACGATATGACCACACACAGTACACGATGACGATATGTCCACACACAGTACACGATGACGATATGTCCACACACAGTACACGATGACGATGGTAATCACGATATGACCACACACAGTACACGATGACGATATGACCACACACAGTACACGATGACGATATGACCACACACAGTACACGATGACGATGGTAATCACGATATGACCACACACAGTACACGATGACGATATGACCACACACAGTACACGATGACGATATGTCCACACACAGTACACGATGACGATATGACCACACACAGTACACGATGACGATGGTAATCACGATATGACCACACACAGTACACGATGACGATATGACCACACACAGTACACGATGACGATATGTCCACACACAGTACACGATGACGATATGACCACACACAGTACACGATGACGATGGTAATCACAATATGTCCACACACAGTACACGATGACGATATGACCACACACAGTACACGATGACGATATGTCCACACACAGTACACGATGACGATATGACCACACACAGTACACGATGACGATGGTAATCACGATATGCCCCATACAGTACAAAATGACGATGATGATCACGATATATCCACACACAGTACACAATGACATTGATAATCACGATATATCCATACACACTACACAATGACATTGATAATCACGATATGTCCCAAAACAGTAGAAGACGACTTTGATAATCACTATATGTGCCATTCAGTAGAAGATGACGATGAAGATCACGATATACAGACACAGAACAAGATGACGATAATAATGACGATATGTCCCATACAGTAGAAGATGACGATGATAATCACGATATACAGACACAGCACAAGATGACGATAATAATAACGGTATGTCCCATTCAGTAGAAGATGGCGATGATAATCACGATATACAGACATGGTACAAGATGTCGATAATAATGACGATATGTCCCATTCAGTAGAAGATGACGATGATAATCACGATATACAGACACAGCAAAAGATGACGATAATAATGACGATATGTTCCATTCAGTAGAAGATGGCGATGATAATTACGATATACAGACACAGCACAAGATGACGATAATAATGACGATATGTCCCATACAGTAGAAGATGTATGATGATAATCACGATATACAGACACAGCACAAGATGACGATAATAATGACGATATGTCTCAGACAGTAGAAGATGGCGATGATAATCACGATATACAGACACAGCACAAGATGACGATAATAATGACGATATGTCTCATACAGTAGAAGATGAAGATGATAATCACGATATACAGACACAGCACAAGATGACGATACTAATGACGATATGTTCCATACAGTAGAAGATGGCGATGATAATCACGATATACAGACACAGCACAAGATGACGATAATAATGACGATATGTCCCATACAGTAGAAGATGGCGATGTTAATCACGATATACAGACACAGCACAAGATGACGATAATAATGACGATATGTCCCATTCAGTAGAAGATGGCGATGATAATCACGATATACAGACACAGCACAAGATGACGATAATAATGACGATATGTCCCATTCAGTAGGAGATGGCGATGATAATCACGATATACAGACACAGTATAAGATGACGATAATAATGACGATATATCCCATACAGTAGAAGATGGCGATGATAATCACGATATACAGACACAGCACAAGATGACGATAATAATGACGATATGTCCCATACAGTAGAAGATGACGATAATAATGACGATATACAGACACAGCAGAAGATGACGATAATAATGACGATATACAGACACAGCACAAGATGACGATAATAATGACGATATTCTCAATACAGTAGAAGATGACGATGAAAATCACGACATGCCCACTCAGTACAAAATGGCGATGTGCCCAACACACAGTGCAAGATAACGATGATGATGAAGATGATGATGACTATGTGCCTCTTCCCTCCACCACCCCTCCCCCCACACTCAGCACATGATGACGATGACGACGTGCCCGCCACACAGTACAAGATGACGTGTCTTTGTAATAATGGCATACTGAACGAGTGACCTCTAAACCTTGTCGCAGAGTCACCTGCAGCATCGGTCCGAGAACACTGAAATACACACCAATATTGAAGCCAAACCTCTTGTGATGTTATTCACCTCTGAAGAAACCATAGCATGAATCGCAAGTTGTTACTGCAAAAATTTGACATGCTTGAACCAAAGAGTCAAGTATGTTTGAAGGTGTGAAATGAATCTCTTTATACGCATGTGTTTTTGTTGGGCTGTGTTATGAAAACTCCCTTGTGTGGAGTCGGTCGGCTTCTTCTCTCCCAGAAACAGGAAGGTTTGTACTGCTAGTTTCCTGTCGAGGTGAGGGTCGTGCTGATGCTGCAGCTTTTCACGCTAAATGTGCCCGCAGGTCTGTTTTTGTTTCCATTGTTTTAGCTAATAAAACCGTCGTGAGAAGCAGGCATCCCATTATACAAGCATCCCACTGCATGATACAGTGAGTGTAACAGGTTCATCTGGAGGCGTCAACGGTTGACTTTAGTGTACAAATAGTAAGACATCACCTACACGTCACCACCTGTATGTAAGAGTGTACAAATAGTAAGACATCCCCTACACGCCATCACCTGTCTGTAAGAGCGTACAAACAGTAAGACATCCCCTACACGCCATCACCTGTCTGTAAGAGTGTACAAACAGTAAGACATCCCCTACACGCCTTCACCTGTCTGTAAGAGTGTACAAACAGTAAAACATCCCCTACACGCCATCACCTGTCTGTAAGAGTGTACAAACAGTAAGACATCCCCTACACGCCTTCACCTGTCTGTAAGAGTGTACAAACAGTAAGACATCACCTACACGCCATCGCCTGTCTGTAAGTGTGTACAAATAGTAAGACATCCCCTACACGTCATCACCTGTCTGTAAGAGTGTACAAACAGTAAGACATCCCCTACACGCCATCACCTGTCTGTAAGAGTGTACAAACAGTAAAACATCCCCTACACGTCATCGCCTGTCTGTAAGAGTGTACAAACAGTAAGACATCCCCTACACGCCATCACCTGTCTGTAAGAGTGTACAAACAGTAAAACATCCCCTACACGTCATCGCCTGTCTGTAAGAGTGTACAAACAGTAAGACATCCCCTACACGCCATCACCTGTCTGTAAGAGTGTACAAACAGTAAAACATCCCCTACACGCCTTCACCTGTCTGTAAGAGTGTACAAACAGTAAGACATCCCCTACACGCCATCGCCTGTCTGTAAGTGTGTACAAATAGTAAGACATCCCCTACACGTCATCACCTGTCTGTAAGAGTGTACAAACAGTAAAAC